GTATTCCAAATTGAAAACGGTCTCAGTCATAATCAGTCCACAGCAACCTTCGAAGCAATGGAGGTGGGTATGGTTTTATCGTGATGAAATTTACAAACTGTTGATGCGTTGGCCAAAATCCACTTTCCTAACACCAAATTTCTTGCCATTGCAACTCATCAAAGCTGTCGCGGATATAATCTGTGGTCCTCTTCAATACATTTTCAACTTGAGTATGATAAGAGTTGAGGTCCCTGAGAGGTGGCGTTTGTCTTTTGTTACACCTATACCTAAAAGGAAGCCCTATACTTGCCCTAGGAATTATAGGCCTATTAGTATAATATCTATCTTTGCCCGACTATTTGAAAAAATTTTGAAGAAAAGTATAACAAAACATCTAGAGAGGTACAGCGTTATAAATCCTGTTCAGCACTCGTTTCAAAAAGGCAGTTCTACCACAACTGCCATGCTCCATTCCTTGAATGAATGGACGCGACAACTTGAGGATGGGTTTAACATTGACGTTATCTATTTGGATTTTGCCAAGGCTTTTGATAAAGTTCCGCATAGGAAACTTCTGCAAAAGCTCGAGTTGTAGGTATACATCCGCGTATCATTGCTTGGATTGAAGCCTTCTTGATGAGAAGATCTTTTGTTGTACGAATCAATGGTTTCTTCTCTAAGCCAAGAGAATCAGTTGTGGAGTGCCGCAGGGAAGTGTTCTTTCATCAATATTATTTAATATTTATACTCACGACTTTTGTCTCATCCCACTTTCTAAAGGAGTCTCTTGCACTGCATTTGCTGATGATCTTAAATTGTACGCTGTAGTCATGAATGACAGCGGACGCAAATTGTTGCAAAATTCCTTGAACGATGTGTATGCTTGGTCGCTGGAATGGTCTAGAGAGAAAACTAAGGTGCTTCATATAGGTTCGAGTAATCATGCGTACCTATACACTTTGGGAGGAGTCTCCCTAGAAACAGTCACATCTGTGCGTGATTTGGGCTTCTTAGTTAGGAATGATCTCACATTTGATGAGCACTGTAAAATTGTTGCGGATACTGCTATGAGGGCCGTTTATAACTTGTTTAGAGCACTCTCGTGCAATAAAGCTGAGGTGTTCCTGAAAGCGTATAAGACATTCATAAGACCTATGCTAGAATACGGTACCTCTATATATAACCCTCATTTGTGCAAAACAATCAACTATCTTGAAAGAGTTCAGAACAGTTTTACGCGTAAATTATTTATAAGAACTACCGGTATCATATGACCAGATACCTGATGGAAAGACTCGTAACTTGAATTTCAAGCTGTCGACATTAGCATACCGAAGGCGCAAATTTGATTTGATTCTGGCTCATAAGATCATTTTTGAGGAATGTAGACTCGACCTTAAGGATTGCTTTTCCGCTAAACCCTCCAACACTCGTGGTGGCCATGTAAAGCTGATAAAACCAAGAGCAAAGTCAAGACTGCGAGAAAACTTCTTTAGTTGTCGCGTATTATCTGACCTCGATGAAATGGTAAGAAATGGAATGTTAACTGTCAAGCTATCAACGTTCAAGACCGATATAAAGAGTTACTTGCAATCAAAAAGTTGTTTGTGATGATCTGGTGTACCTCAGGTTGGATGATCTTGTCATTGTTAATCTTCGTTGTTGTTCTGTTTGTTTTGTGTTGTTTTTCTTTTTTTTCTGGTTTTGTTTGATTCCCACATAGGGGCAACCCTATGTAACAATAAATAAATTAATAACTTGCTCACGCATATTGCACACCACATCAGACACTCATATGCACTGTTAGGCCTCGGGCAGAGTTCACGCGATTTGATCGTCGCGATTGAATGACAAGACAACTGTTACGAGTTCATTATTACATGCCGACCAGCTTGCATTTCGGTTGTGATATTTTCCAGCCCGAAATTTTTGAATGTAAAATGAAAATGAATGGAAATCGCAGCGATTGAATCGCGACGATCAAATCGCGTAAACTCTGTCCGGGGCCTTAGACATCGCTCATGCCTCGAGCGATCCCGCCAAACCGCGATGACCTCGCCATTTTGGGATCTGCCGGATGCATTGAATAATCAATGCCTATATAATATTTGGATAAGCATATTTTTTAATGACCGGCCTGAAATGATACAAAGAATCGTGGAATTTGGATGAAACCACACATGAACTTTCTGATGGGGCGGGTGTCAGTAAGCTTTTCACCGAAAATCACAGTGTGGCGCTATCGATTTATCGATTTTTTGCATTTTTCGCTTAGCAATTTCGTTATAAGGCCTTTCGGGCCTAATGCTGGAAAACTTCATTAAATTTGAACGAAACTTTGCATACATAAACTTTGGCGGGGTGGGTGTCACTAAGCTTTTTTACCGAAAATCATCGATTGGCGCTATAGATTTATTGATTTTTGTGTTTTTGCCTAACAGTTTTGTTATGACCGGCCTAAAATGCTAGAAACGACCACGAAATTCAAGCGAAACTTTGCATACATAAAACTCGGAGGTGGGGCGGGTTTTACTAAGCTCTTTCACCGTAACGGGCCTTATCGATCCATTAAGTTTTTCGTATTTTAAGCTCTATAAAGTTGAAAACTGGCAGGAAGGGGATAGCTAAGCATGGCTAATTCGAATAAAATATCTACAACTTCAATCACTAAGCTTTTTCACCTGTTTACTGATTTTTTATGTCACATTTCGTCACATTCACATTTCTTTTTACGCGCAGTTTATAGATCGAAGTTATTCATGCAAAATGGCTAATTTTCTGCAAAATTTCACATTTCTGCACTGCAAAGTACGCGACGATTTTGCCGCGTAGCGGCAGAGAGCGGCTGATGAATAATTGAATAATATTAATAACTGTCTAGAATGCATAAACTTGAAAAAGACTCTATGTGTTGATATCTTGCCAGCGTATTGCTTTGCAGCTTGGAGAGTCTTCTTAGCAAATTTTCATCTTTTGAACTAGGAAGCCACAGATCAAGAAGTTTCAACCTGAAGCTTTCTTTTCAAAGGCTCAATAAATTGAACAGGTGGAGTCAATGTTTAAGGCAGAAGCATATCGTAGAAAACAGGGAGAGCTTGCACTTACGAATTGGGTTGTTAAGTCTTGTTACACTTGACGTTTTACGGCGATAAGTCGTGTGCTTCAAATTTCCAGTAGTACGCTCCAAGGGGAATCGCAGGGATTGGCACAAGGTGGCCTCTGGAAAATGCAAAAAAGGAAGTCCTTGATATCTTAATTAAATGACACTGCAGTATTCTTTTTTTTGCAAAATGAGCCAAATCTTTTATTACTGCAAATACGTTTAGGTAGCGTTCTGCGCATTATTCATCACCATCATCTCATCATCTAGTTGATGTTAATGCTTCAGCATCTGTTATAGCCAATGTCAGCTACGGAAGTATAGGAGCGTTGGCGATTCTACTTATATACGAATCTTCCTTACATATAAACTGAAAATGCAAGACGAAAAATGCCTCTTCGTCTCGCACCCTGACGCCTCCTTTTAGCGTGCGGGGGAAAATTGTTGACAGTGTGAGCGCGCTAGACATCGCACTCTTTCGCAGAGAATCAGACATTGAGAATCCGAGATAATGATGTGAGAGAGAGACGCAGGTTGTGCGTAGAGAGTAAATTTGAAATCGTGCATAAATCGCCGCGGCATTGCCCAATTTTCGAAATTACTGTAGCCGTGACTCATTTCCATGAAGTGAGCTTGTCGTCATAGTAATACTCGTAGGAAACAGACAGCATTGCATTACCGTTTCTGTTATGTAATTTTCTGTACACAATTACGATCCTCACTTCTAATCCTTGCTACAGCAATATTCTGTTTCTCCCCCTCCAGCCTTAGGTAATCGTTGATTTTGTTGAAGGAATAGTCGAGGTTTTCAGGAGCTCAACATTCTTTCTAGCAAAAATTTCGCTTCGCCACTCAAATTTTGAAAATTTTGATAAGCATAAAATGCATTTTCTCTCGCGAAGAAGACGCTGCGAGTAGGATGCAATGTCGCTGGCAGGTCTGAGGTCAACACTTTGCAGCCCTCTTTTGAGCTTGGTCTTGCCGGTAGAGCTAAGCTAGTATGTTTCTGTGATCAAACAATTTCTACAGCAAAAAGTTTTGCTTTCTCCACATTGTTCGTGAAATCCGGGGAAATCTCAATCTCGAAGGAATCTGCGCAGAAAACGCATTTGCTCCAAGAGTGAAGATCCAGCATGCAAGTTATTATAGTTAGCTTGGTCAAGGATTTGATGTGTTGATTGTGAATAAGCAACGAAAAAAGAATTGTTCTGATTGTAATCTGAATGCGGTGTTCTGAAAGAAAAGTTGGATGGTATAATTTTGTGTTTACAGCGCGACTTGATTTTTCATTTACCAAGCTTTTGTAGAAAAGTGAAGAATGGCCATTGAGAATTAGATGCAGCTAGATGCAGTCCTACTAACCAAATGCCAATATATCTGCCCCGACTCGTAGGATTGCTAGTATTTCATTTTATTTACAGCTTCCCAATACTACTCTGATCTAAGCATCTAATACTGTTGTATACGACATATAATGGATTTTTGGATTTTGGATCTCAGATGAATACTGTTTGCAAATGCAACGCCACTTTTGCTTATGCAGGTGCCTTTTCATTTCTCACTTTTTTCATTTCCTGTGCATAAGACATGCAAAATGTCGCACTTAAATCAAAAGAACAAAATCACAGCATGAGAACCAAGTCTGAAACCTCACCGCTCAGTCGGCATAAGATATGAGTCAGTGATAAAATTCTTCCACGAATTGTTCATTTAGTTCGAAGTGCAATTTGGATACTTGGTCTCCATGAGCGAAAATTTTGAGTAAGCATTCATTGAGATAAACTTACTCCGGCATGCACAGGGAGAATTGTTCTGTTTGCTTTTTTATACATCAAATATTCTACATGTCAGGCTTTGTTATGCTCATCAACTATTTTTTTCTGTCCATATTTATTCGACACTCGATCAGTATTTAATCTCAATGACGCCGTAGACCATCGTCAATTGGCTGGTATGGCGGGACTGGCGACCGTGGACGTGAAGGCAACCGCCGACCTGATCCACCTTGCTGGTATGACTGGAAAGCCGATCCTAGACTTGATTGCAGTGGCTGATGTGGCTGAGGTGCTTGCGGTTGTGGGTACGGTCCGTGCTGTGGTCGTTCTACCTGCGGAGCCATCGGGTTATTTGGCATTTTCTGATGTCTCTGTGGTTTATGTGGCTGCACCGGTTTGAAGGGTGGAATGAATGGTGGTGGACCACGAAGCACATCACGACTCTTCACGGCAGGCCGACTATTCCTGGCATGCACAGTGAGTAAGATGCAGAGCGTGGCGATGGCGACGAGTGTCAGACTACACTTCATAGTCTGAATAGTGGTTTTCATCAAGATTACCGTAAGGGCTTCAGGCATAGTTCACACGATCTCATCGCCTTACGATTCTCCCGATAAGACAACTGCTATGAGTCCATTGCATTCGATCAGCTTGCATTGCGGTTGTGATAGTTAGTCCAATTACTCGTTCTGGAAAACTATCACAACCGAAATGCAGGGAGATCGGCAAGCAATGAACCCATAACAGTTGTCTTGCTGGAAAGTTTGCGAGGCGATGAATTCACATGAATCATGCCCGAGGCCTAAGAAAAATTGGTAGGGGAGTTGCTTGCAAGGAAAGCAATGGCGAATCATCAAAATGGCAAATGGACAATGATGAAAAATTCGTTTTAGGACTTGAATAATGGAGATTTGCAGAATTTTGACGCAAATTGTGTGATTACGGCGGAAAATGATATTTTGAAAAGGGCAAAAATTGCCATAATCAGCAGGTCTTAACGATTTATGCTTTTTTCTATACTAATAGCACAATTGCTGAAGTACACTATACGAAAACTGCGGTTCACGAAATTCTTCTAAAACCTCAATGACGAGCTAGTGAGGAGTTTTTAAAATTTTTACAAGGGAAGGACCCCAAGCTGCAGTAGTGATCTGGGTCAAAATGTATATCATCGGATACGTTGCGAGAACCTGATTTCACAGCTATCTTCCATATCTGGTAACTGACATAACAAAAAGACTTTCGTAATTGCTTTAGAACAGTTTGTGCCATGTTTTGTCGTGAAATGGTACGGATATGACCTATATATAATTTCTATTTCAACCGGTTTTAGTGAAGCACTTATTATCGTCGAATAGCTCGAGTGAGATACTGGAGTGAAACTTAGACGAAATTTGAAACAAAGCTTGCCTACGCCGACGAAACTTATTGCAAGAGCTTTTTGTAAAATAGTCGCTTCAAACATGCTTTTATCGCTTGTCTCAAATATGCTTAATAGCCCGCATCGATTCTAGGACAGTTTAATGCCCTCCTGTAAAATGATAATGGTTCACGTTTGTTTCTAGTTTTATACCTATCTAAATCATATTCAGCATTTGAAAAAGAAAGGAAAATTTCCATTTAAGATTTCACCCTCCGCAGTATGGCACTCATTCCCGAAAAAATAATTATAACCCCATCCAGGTTCTCGTTTCGCAGATATGAAAACAGTATTCGAACCAGCATCAAAAGGCGCATTTTTTGATGTACAAACCATTATGAATGGCCGACGTCACCAAGTATCCCTCCCTGCTTAGGTGAGGAGTTATAAAATTGAAATACAATCAATGCATACTCTAACGTTCTCTTTTTCTTTGTTCTTTACTTGAAGAATATCTCAGTGCTTTGACTTCAAAATTTAATCGAACAGAGAACTTTTTTGGTTCAGGAAAACTTTATGTCCCATCAATTTACATACTATTCGAAAACTTGGAACATATGAAATCGTCGTAGATCTAGCTAATAAGAGAAGACAGAGTCTCGTAAGACTCTTGGAAAGCACAGGAAAGGAGATCATGGAGGAGATGATTTTGAAGTCCAGTGTTGCATTTTGGCCATCGAAGAACATATTGCTGCTCGAAAAGCGTTAGAGGCTTCATTCATACTTGCTCGTAATTCCAAAATGAGCATGGAAGCATGAAAGGTTAGCGATATTATATTTCAGCTATATCTTCCCAATGCCTACTTCATTCTAAGCCTGATACTGGTGTAAGTACTATACAACATACAATAGATTCTCATACGAGCTGTTTACAAATGCGACGCCAATTTTTCGATGCCGTGCCTTTTCATTTCTCGCTTTACTTGTGCAGTAAGACATGCATATTGTCGACTTTAAGTCAAAGGAAGCAAAGCACAGCATTGACAAATTGGAACCTCTTGGCCCTCACGGCTCCATCGATATAATATGCTTCTCACAGGTGCAACAGATGAAGCAATTTCTTTGCCCCTTCACTATAGGGCCTGCATCTGGATGACTCCTTTTGCCTGAGGTAGGGACAGGACTAGAGTCACAACATATCGGTAGAAAAAAACCCCTATGATAAAATGCACATTGTTTGGGAACGCCGGCTGCTGCTTATTCTTAGTCAGTGCATGGCAAGTGCTTTTACGTTTGCGGAGGAAAAGGCAAGGTTGTGGCCTCCTGTCTCTGTCATAGTGGCTTAATTTTGATAACTAAATTAACCTAAAAATTTGAAAGTCTGATTTTTGAATAAGCACCATTGTTCAATGAAAGCAAGTTGTTGCAGGGGGAATTATGCAGGAATGGAAAGTCTGGTCTGGCTAATGACAGTTGCATGTTCGCTGACAAGAATTACTGTTTTTTTATTGTAGATCGTAATAGAAAATAAAGGAGCAATCAGATCCCTTAGTTATACAGCTTTTTCATCACATCCGAAGCTTCAAAAATACCTTTTTTCCACCAAAAATGAAGCACGAATAATTTACAAAGCTAGGTGATGTTGTAGCAGCTCTCACTTCTCGCTTCGCAGAATAGCTAGAAAAAAGAGAAGTGTTCTGTCAATTTCTCGTGCTCTTAGCCATCGAATAAAATGTTTGTGCATAAAGCTTTCCCGCTCCTGATAGATCTGCTCCGGCGACAGAAGAAAGCCGAGAAATTGAGGGGGTGGAGTGGGGCAGGCTAATTGTGAAGTTCTCCATCATATTTTTGAAGAGTTAAGAGTTTTTTCATCATAATCTATGAACAATTAGAATACTCACCAAACGGATTCGAAAAAGGCCACCCTTTTTCCCTAGCGTCCCTTTACTCGGAGGTACATGGCGTGTAAGCTGAAAACATGGCGTGTTTTGCAAAAAAGTTTCTATTTTCAAAGATCAAATGACAATCCCGAATTGCCTTTGTTACAGAGAGAGGCTTTGCCTGCGAACGTAGACGGTCTCGTTCTATATCGTTTAAGCCGTAACAGGTTTTTAAGAGAACACTTTATTTACTGCCCAAGTTTCGAAATGCCGTTTTCAGAGGCCTGAAAGTGAGTCAATCACTCATCATAAGTTCTGAAGTTGAACAGCTTATCAAACGTTCGTGGTGAGAAGCGTAAGGGTGTTAGCTCTCTCTCTCTCTCACGTTTGCCCACAGCAAATGATAACAAAATGAGGGTCCGAGTAAGTAAGTACGACACGCTTAAGTAGTGTAGGCTACTCATAGCTTGCAAAATGGCAAAAACGGCTTCAGATCACTAGTGGTAGACAAATGTTAGTTCTTGCTGTTCATTTTGGAATTACGAGCAAGTATGAATGAAGCCTCTAACGCTTTTCGAGCAGCAATATGTTCTTCGATGGCCAAAATGCAACACTGGACTTCAAAATCATCTCCTCCATGATCTCCTTTCCTGTGCTTTCCAAGAGTCTTACGAGACTCTGTCTTCTCTTATTAGCTAGATGTTCGCTGACACGTAATTGATGTGGTCGACCAGTTTCGCCTATGTAAATTACATGGCAAATCTTACACTTCAACTGGTAAATCACTACACATTTCGAACAGTCTCCTAATCTCTCATCTGTGCAAACAACGCATTTCTGATTACGCATTGTCTGTCATACAATCTATCGCGGTTTGCTTTTTGATGTTGTCTTGGGGTATGTTCACTAGAACAACATCATCCGCCAATTGCGCCTGTATTAAGCATTCCATGAAAGCGTTGCTTATTCTACCGGACAAGAACGGTAAGCTTAGTGATATACGTGATCGAATCTGACTGCTACCGTTTGCGCACTTTCGTGCGAGACTTGGACTGCAGTCGGTAACCCATTAGCAACTATCTCGTACGCCACTTCGTAGATTCCAGTCTTTCAAATTCACCGCTGCAAACACTGCTTGCTGTTCCAAACATATTGCAAATAATCGCTCGTTTTACAGAAGATGGATGCGCAGATCTGGCATGCAGAATTATATTTTTAGAACCCTCCTTCCGATACCATTTGACGTATGCGCCTCCGTTTTCCAACATCACCCGTGTATTAAGATATGGTAGCCAGCCATCGTGTGGTTTTTGTCTTGTCAAGTTGATGTGCTGCGATTGTTCATTGGAAACTCAAAGCACCCATCCAATTCGGATTGAATTGCAGTAGAAATGTAACAGTAAAGTGTAATTGAGTGTTCTTCTGAAACCTGTCACGGCTCGAACAAAATTGAACATTATCTACAAACATGCCAAGGGTTTACAACAAGGAGACGTACAATCTACTTGTAGACACGATCTCTTTTTTTGAACTTTTTTCTTTCAGAAATGGAGCAAATGAGCAAGTGATTGCACTGTATATCTGTTAAGGGATTGTTATATTCAAATTAGAAGACCTGGATAGAAAGAGAGGGCCTACGACGATTTCATATGTTCCAAGTTTTCGAATAGTATGTAAATTGATGGGACATAAAGTTTTCCTGAACCAAAAAAGTTCTCTGTTCGATTAAATTTTGAAGTCAAAGCACTGAGATATTCTTCAAGTAAAGAACAAAGAAAAAGAGAACGTTAGAGTATGCATTGATTGTATTTCAATTTTATAACTCCTCACCTAAGCAGGGAGGGATACTTGGTGACGTCGGCCATTCATAATGGTTTGTACATCAAAAAATGCGCCTTTTGATGCTGGTTCGAATACTGTTTTCATATCTGCGAAACGAGAACCTGGATGGGGTTATAATTATTTTTTCGGGAATGAGTGCCATACTGCGGAGGGTGAAATCTTAAATGGAAATTTTCCTTTCTTTTTCAAATGCTGAATATGATTTAGATAGGTATAAAACTAGAAACAAACGTGAACCATTATCATTTTACAGGAGGGCATTAAACTGTCCTAGAATCGATGCGGGCTATTAAGCATATTCGAGACAAGCGATAAAAGCATGTTTGAAGCGACTATTTTACAAAAAGCTCTTGCAATAAGTTTCGTCGGCGTAGGCAAGCTTTGTTTCAAATTTCGTCTAAGTTTCACTCCAGTATCTCACTCGAGCTATTCGACGATAATAAGTGCT